ACACTCTATGTGCCCGCGGGTTTTTAGGGAGGGGGGGGGGTGTAGGGCAATCGGATGATTCAAATAAAAGATAAAAAGAAATTCCTTCTTTTCGCTTCACCATACAACTGGAGACAGCCATCCCCAATCTCCCACTCCACACATCACGCACAACAGCAATGTGATCTATAGTTCTCAAACCGAAAGCGACAGGCTTACGAAAAAACAATACACACAGCGTCTTCCCACTTTTGTAGTTAGCCTTTTGACCTACATGAAGCAAAATGAAAAGTGAGTGAAACAAAAAGAAAAACGAGACAAGACGAAACGAAATGAAAAGGGGATTCAGAGCACGACGTCTATCCAGACACAATGTAGACACGAGGGTCAATGATTGCTAATGCTCTTGTCGGGGATCGTGGTCACGACCTATTTCGCTGCTTTTTGACGAAGACATGGGTCAAAACTCGACCTAAGTACGAATGCGCGCATGCCCGTTTGTGTTAAATTAAATGGTCGGCATCAATAGGTCACTAGAAAACAAATTAGTCTTATGTTGTTGAGTTTACCTCTTTGGATCTCGCTTTCTGTTCATTCAACGACGCTCTAGGACGTAATTATTGTTTCAGGGCACTGAAAAAGAGAAACATGACTTTATTATTCTATTATAATTTTCAATTCTGTCTCCTTTATCCAAAACTCAAAAATGCAGGTAACAATTCACTTTAAAAAAAGCTACCTAATGTGACTAAAAATCCACAGCCAACACAAAAGCATCTTGGAAAAATGAGACAAAATGAAAGCCTGTTTCCCTGATCCCCATCTAACTGCACTTCGACAGCCTCCCAATCTTGGCAACCTCATCATTCGCACTAGAGCAGTCCTCACCTCCGATAAACCCATGTTCCCCGCCTCAAAATGATCCTTGTCAAAAACCTAGATGCAAAACATGTGCTTATATGAAAGTGACTAACTTTGTAGAAGGCCCCCACCTTAAAAGAAAACGCGATGACGAAGACGATGACTATGGTGATGATGATGATGATGATGATGATGATGATGATGTGACAATTTTGTCATCCAACGTACAGTTTTGTTTTGTTTGTTTTAGTAGAGCTTTTACGGCGCTCTCAACTGGATAAACATATAGTTTGACAATATATGAATTACATTTGCCGACGTTTGGGAGATTTTTGTTGTGACAGTAAACAACCGCCGAGTGATGCCGCGAACCAGCTGAACTCTGATCTGGGGCGCCGTATGTTTGGAGTTAATTAAGAAACACGAGTTTGCCAATTATTTTGTCTCTGTCAATGTTATCATCATTACCTTTCTCCCCCTGGATCTGGGTATAGGCCACGAACAAACACTATGTCTCTATGTGTTTAAAAAAAAGACCGTACACCTTGATTCGTCATAATATGTTCAGGAGACCCCCCTCCCGAAAAAAAGAATAAAAAACCAACAAAACACCAACAAAAACCCCCAAACAACAACAACAGCAACACCCCCCCCCCTCACAAAAAGACAGGTTTTGACCTATAATTTGACATTTTGCAAATAGGTTTGAAATTTTCTTGAAAATAGTTGGTTTGCGACAGTTTTAGTGGCTATATGTGTGATCTGCAGCAAACAATACGCAGTTTGACACCCCAAAGCAGTGCATCTTTGTGCGGGAGTACGTCTCCGAATAGATCCTGGGTGCTCGCCGCAGACATCTCCGAATATCTTCTGCTGCTGTTCATCGGTCTAAAATTCAGTTTTTCAGGTTCGCTCAGTCCGGAGTTTTGGTTATATTTTTTTCTTATTTAAATTTTCCATCTCCTCTCATTTCTAAAGCCAAATTAAAAAACGAAAACAGTCGCCCCTTCCATCTGAAAAGAGGCTTTTTGTCAGCAGAACCATTTTAAAAAGGCGTTCTTCCGAAATTTGAATCCTAAGTTATTTGTTAAAAAAAACTAGATCTAGATAATTTCACAATGATTTTTTCCCCACAGATAGGGTGACTCTGTTCCAAAAGTAGGCGCCTCTCCGAAGAGGGCGTCACCGAACTTTAAGGACGCTTTTGTAAATAGGCTCAAAGAGAGGAGTGAACCATCTTGTAGTGTACCATCTTGTAGTGAACCATCTTGTAGTGTACCATCTTGTAGTGAACCATCTTGTAGTGTACCATCTTGTAGTGTACCATCTTGTAGTGAACCATCTTGTAGTGTAC